CATTTTTCTATTCTGCATACTACCAAAAAAAAAAAAACATTGATAAAACCCAGCAAGTGTGAGGCCATGTAAATTAGCAAAAGTTCAGGAAGTCATTACACTAAACCAAAAGAAACAAAGTGTTGATTAGGAGCTTATTTTTGTATGAGATTAAAATATGAATCATTAAAATAGGACTGTATTTCAGGCTCCTTATCCCCGCCTCATCTGAGACATCACCATGACTACTAGGTTTGGATTCAATGAATTCCGAAGCCGTTCTCTGCTCTCAAATGCAATCATGTGTGCCACGGTTCTACCTTATACAGAGCAGTTTCAAAAGTCTGGTACAGGACACCTCTGTATCTTCCTGCCTATCTCCCTTTAATAAAATACCCAAGTGACATGTGACAGCTCTTTGAAGTATTTTGCTTTATTTAGTCATGATACTAAGTAGTGGCAGAAAGTCATCCTAACAGCAACCAAATTTCAAAGGTTGAGGAAGGAACACAAAGTCAAGGCAAAAACACAAGATTCCCTCAGGAATCACTTAGAATAGGGTATCGGTGGGGCTTTATTTAGTGTCAGTGATGGAGGAGTGGGAGTGGTAGAGAAAAAGAAATGAGTATGGAACATTTCTCAGGTCCATGCTGAGCTTCAAAGAAAAAATAATATAGCAATATCTCCAACCCAAAATATGCCTTGAATTTAAGCTGGTAATTAAAATATTTGTTTAAAAATGGCTAAAATTAGAGACAAAGACCCATTGTTTGTTATTACTGTGGATTGCATATCTGTGTGTGTAGAGGGTGTAGGGAGACAGAGGCTTGCGGTGTTTTAGAGATGAATCACGCACCCCAAAGGATTTTGAGGCACTCACCTGATTTTCAACTTGGATCTAAGTCAAAGGGGTGGGACAAGACCATGACAGGTTTTGAGGGTTTTTTTTTTTTTCTAATTAACTACTCTGTGGACACTTCAAATATATATATATCAGTACAGAAAGACGTCTGCTCATCCCAGCTCCCAGCCGCCTGCTCATCCCAGCTCTGGCAATGGCCTGACATCTCTAGACGATTTTCTAGAGACTGTGGAACCTTGCAGCAATGCCTGTGTGCATTGTTAAAGGAGGGAAGCATCCCAGACGTGCCAGTTCCTTGTAGAGTATCTTTAATAGTTACCACCTCTAACCAGACTTGTGAATTTTTTTCATGTTTACTCTTCTCTTGCCTAGGATTGAGGTTGGTTAAAAAGGTATATGTTTCTCTGTAGGGAAGACTTCTATGAAGAATCCGTGAGCTGTCATTGGAACCTTAAAAATGTCCTTACTTAATGACTTCGTAATTCTTTAACCCAAAATGCAAGCTAAGATGGATGTAAAAAGGATATGTTCACAAAAATAATAGCAATAAATTGGGATAGTTTAAACTCCCAGCCATTGTTAGGCAGCTGCTGAAGCAGTTCGGTAATGTGGGAAAGTGTCCAAAACCTAATGTGGAGGGAAGAGAGGATGCTAAACTATTAAAAACCTGATTCTAACTATAGAACTATAGTATTAACAGGGCTTCTGTCTCTTAGTGATGGGAGTATTGTTAATGTTTTGTTTTCTTTCTGGTTTTCTGCCTTTTTAAAACATTTCTGAGGCCAGGCACAGTAGCTCACATCTGTAATCCCAGCATTTTGGGAGGCCTAGGCGGTTGGATCACTTGAACTCAGGAGTTCGAAACCAACCTGAGCAACACGGTGAAACCCTGTCTCTGCTGGAAATACAGAAATTAGCTGGGTGTGTGGTGCGCACCTGTAGTCCCAGCTACTTGAAGGGCTGAGATGGGAGGATCATTTGAGCCCGGGAGGAGGAGGTTGCAGTGAGCCAAGATC